TTTTAATATTATCACAGACAATTTTTATCTGTTATATTATTTATTGCCATGAACTGAGTAGATGGGGGTCTACACTACTTCTTTTATGATGTTTTATAGTTTTTTGCAGTGAAATGATTTTTTTCTAAACATAAGGCCAAAACTTTCATACATTTTTGAGTAGAATCGAGATATGCAATAAAAAATGGGGGTTATCGTTTGATATTACAAAGTGGGTTCCAATTCGTTTAATAGAGCACAACAATAGGTATTAGTAACATCCCTGGGCTGTTAATAATTCTTAGGTCCCTGAGTTATGAAAGGAATGGACGGGTGGTCTGAACCACCCTGTATACCGCTACTATGTTGCCCTTATGCAGAAGTGTATTGAATAATTCTAAATAATTAGGTAAACAGAAATTAAACATAATCAAGAATTGAATTTAGTAGTGAAATTCCGTTAAGTTACTTTTTCATTGGTATAAAAACTAAGCGAAAACTACACGACTGCATAAGCAAAAATTATGTTAAAACGTTTAAAGATAGAAATATTACGATACTCATTCCACTTATATGATTTTTCATTCGCTATATCACTGAAATTAATGCTTACCTTACCTTGAAAAACTCCAATTAATGACTCTAGTCCCCAATGCGTTAATAGCATTTCCATTAGGATAGGTAAATTTATCAGGATCACGGTTATATCGTGTACAGGATACGGATACAGAACCACATAACACAAACGCACAATACACCTTAATAGTTTAAATGAGCGCTGACGCCTGTTCGAATGTGTACCTAATCTTAAAAAGTGCTTACCTACTGGTAACTAAATCATTTTCTGCAATGTGTACCATTCCTACGATTTAGAATACACTTGTTGTTGTATGTACAGAGTACAAGGAATGTAACAGTGGCGACTATTGTTTAGTATAAAATGCAAAACTGATGGGTATTGTCTAGTTATTAAAAGGGTAATATTAAGCTTTTTGTACGAATTAAATAACAACCAACACACGTCATGGTCTTAAAAATTGTTGTATGAGATATTTTATTTAAACTACAACGGTGGTTGTTATATGCAATATACTGTAATTGTCTTTATGTTACCACATTGCTTAATACAGTATGTGCGCAGTTATCTATCGAAAAATGTTGCTCTATTGCATGACTACCAGAAATTAACAAATACTTTAAGCCTCTTATACAATACAATTTAGTTAATACACAAAGATTTTGTATTAATTTAAGGGATCATTTTTCTGAGTGTACATTGCTTTATTTGTAGATGATATAATATTTAACATAATATTGGAAATTATAGTATTAAAAAATCAAGGCGTATACTTTTTTGTTCAAAACCTACAATCTGTAAGCTACGTACCAAACTTGATTGCATATGAAGTTAATCCAAATGCATTAGGACCATTCTCCATAATTTCTATAGAAGACATTGTTGGTCCTCCTATGACTCTGATAAAGACAGCAAAAGGTAAAGCTATGATTCGTTTGAAAGAATATTACAAACTAGCTCCATAATTCTTAAATTCTTAAAATAAAGCATAACAGCATATTATTCTTAATTTCACACTGTAAATATTGAGAAAACATTTTTGAAAAATTTAGATATAACCACCATTTTATGCATCTTTTACAAAACATCGTATACTTACTTCCGCAGTAACATTGTACACGTACCTACTTAGACTATACCTACAGATACAGTTGAACGATTTACAAACGGTTTCTATCAATGGATCAATCCAACTCTTGTAATCGCGACCCTTATTCGCCGTATACAAATGACTATGTGGCTGTGGATTACGGAAATATTTTTAATTCCATTCAAAACTTGCCTGTAAGTGTAAACAATGAAGGTAGAGAGAGTAATTACAATTTGGGGTCTCCTGATGGTGAAACGATACTGGACATATCTGGTTGCGAAGATCAACCCATACAGGATTTAACAAAATTGTTGAAGGAATGGAAACAAGAATTTCTTTTGGAGCATTTTGTTCGTAAGTCCTTTTGAATCCATCTTTTAATAAAACTCATAAATGTTTTATTTGTTTTAGAACAAAAAGTATTTGTCGATGTGTTGAAGGTTATTAAATCTCATCACCTTGAACGCCTTTTGAAAGATTTCGAAATTGGAATACAAATTGTTTTCGAACACAATTTAGAACAGTGGAGACAGTCCATGGGAGCACCATTACTTTATAGTGGAAATACTTCAACACTAACTTCACCATTATCCCCAACTTCATCGTGTAGTTCCTCCAGGGCGTCATCACCCGCTCACGACTCGCGTGTAACACCCTACTGCAAAGAACAACCGGACAGTCAACCAAATATACCTTTATCGACTATATTAAATGAAACAACTAAAGGTGTTATGCTTACTGACTTTTATAATAAGTTTTCGAAACTACAAGAAGAACAGCGTACAATATTAATAACTTTAGTCGCACAATTTCATGAAGATAAAGGCATAGCGATGACCCTTGCAGGAAGTTACAGATTGGAACGAGAAATTTTGGAAAGATTTCCAACTGAGAGACTGGTAGGTAGATGAAATTTAAAGTTTTATATTTTTTCACCCTCATGTTTTATTTTAGGAATACTATCGTTCGAATAAACGAGGACGAATATATAATAAATTCTGTAATTTGAAGAAGTCTGTGGGAACTGCAATTGGAAAATATGTATCAAACACCAAATCCAAAAACCAGCCTGAAAAGAAGTACAGATTAGAAAAAAACTTTGGTAATATAATTGAATATCAATTAAAATAGTTATTTGTACAACTAGTTTTAAACGTAATACTTTTTTTCATGAATTTGCACTAACGAGGACGAAGCCCTAGTTAATCAAGCACATAAGGAAAAAAAGACTCTATTAAGACGTGTTGTAAACGAACTAAATTCTCAAAAATTGATAGATAAGACTAATCGCCATGGAAACGCATAGTAAAAATCGCGAAAAAATAGTATATTGTGTATCTAGTAGTATAAGCAATACATTCCTGGATGCCAAGTAAATTGTTAGCCGAGACTAACAAGCATTGGAGTCCGGGATTGTGCTTTTATACTACGTGGTACACAAACTACTGTTTCTGAAATCGCAATCAACATTATCATAAACTAAGGAACTCTTGTAAATGCATAACAATTTTTGGTTACCATCTTATTGCCTATGAAATCGTTTCCTTGACAACTGTGTTTGACATATTTTGATGGCGTAGGCCGGCAAAAATTTTCCCGGACTACTTTTGGTCCAGGAAAGTTCGTTGCTGCTGACGTATTTTGAGGTCTGAATTTGCTCCAAGAAAGTAGGCGTTCTCGAGCGATTTCAGAAATTTGTCTGACGCTGTCAACGTCTAAAATGTCAAACTTTAATGGCATGAAATGGGCTGAGAAATGTCATGTTTTACTGACGTTTGAAGAAAAACTTAATTAACACATGTACTACATACCTATATGGTCACCATTTTAGAGCCAGAAACTGACGGCGAAGCCTGCCTTAGAGCCTTGAAGTACGACAATTTATCAAGTGAGCAAATTGATAGCACTTGGAAAGCTTGCAGCCAGTATCGGCTGCATGACATAAAAACTTTTGGGGATACTGGTGCAATAATCGATAAATGGTCGTTGTATAAAAGTCCTTCGGGCTTTCGACTGGTATGTTTTGATTAAAGCACATACTGCAATCTAGGTACTTACTCGTTTTTATTTATAGATCGACATGGACTTCACGGTAGCCTTCTCTAATGGAGAGGGTCTACTAGACAACTGGGAGAAATGTTACGATAAAATCTTGACATTTTTATTCACGGATAGTAATTTAAAAGACAAAAACTTAAAACTAATTTTGGAAGAAATAAGAAAAACCGGCAGCTTGTCTGAAAGTGAGTGTAACTAGGAAGAATGATTTCGCGTTAAGTATTAATTTTGCAGATTCAAGAACAGCATCACTTTTGTGGGCTCTGCATGGGTACTTTGTGCCCACAAATAAATCGGTCAAGAAAGACGAGACTGGAAAGAACCAAACAATAAAATTTACAATCAAAGATTCCCAGGAATCTTTCCTGTTCTTAGGGAAGTCCTTCCAAGAGGTGGAGGACCACTTGAATCATTTAGGGCAGAGAATGGTCAGCATTCAGCCGTTTGTATATTGTATAGGGGATGATATACTTTCAATCACGGACATTTTCATTTATTTTGATAACATACGATATAAATTTTTTAGTGTGTTACGGGCGGTGGATATATGTTTTAAAATATTTTATTTATTTGATCTGGAATTCCCGTTAGCATCTTCGATGTTTTACTGTTTTTTGGAATCTTTTTTTTTTAAAATGAAATCTAAACAAACCTTTTCCAAAGTATTTATTTTAAATGAATACTTGGAGTCCTCGTTGGAGTCACACGAATGACTGGAGTTATATCTATGTTTTTAGGAATTATTTTAGTTGTTTATATACCTACATAATGTATATAAAAATTATAAAATTATAAAAAAATATTTTAGTTTAAAAATAAAGGGCACAAAAATTTTTTTTCTTATGCCTATAACTAATAAGATTCATTACACCAATTACTAATGTTTGTTGAGTGTACGTAAAACATTTATTACATCAACGAATTAAACTTATTGAATAAACGACAGTAATTGTTATATTAGCGAATAGTATTCATTTCATCAATTACTAATATTCGTTAAGTCTATGTAAGGTATACATAGAAACAATAACCTTAGTGGTTAAACAATGTATGATGATCGTTACGTCAATGATATGATCGGTTGAATATATAAAATGAAGTTCTTCATTATAATGATCTATGTTTGTTGGTCCAATAAACTCTTAATTGTTTAATGAATGCATTTATCAAACAATGAAAAGTTTTTCGTTAACGGAAAGAAATCGTTCGTTGGACCAATTTTAATGCAATTTTACATCAATTCAACAAACTTTTTTATTGTATTTATGCCTTTTTTTGGTTCAGTGTAGTAGGTATCTATTGTAGAAATGAAATAAAAAATGGGCACCTTTTGGTAGTTGATCGCTTTAACTCCCGCCTGATTACAAGCTCACAGAGTTTATTTCGCATAAACTGTTTTCCCTCACCATAGCTTGCTATCACCAACTTCCCCTCCTCACAGTCTAAAGCTTCTAGAATGTCCTGTAAATAATTAAATAATAAAATCCATAAGTTAGGCAATATAATGAACTTACGGATGTTATTACGTTGGGATTACATTCAAATGGTGTGCCAAGTGCGGCACGTTGAGTATAAATGAATGTACTTTCTTTCAGCTCATCTTTAAATTAAAATCTTATAATTGGTAAATTGGTCTATAAATTATATAACTACCTAAAGGCAGAAGTGAGGAAGATGTTGACCCAGACGGAGCTGGAGATGCAGTTAAAGTAGAACTTATATCTGTGGAGATATCGTCACCTCCACCACCAGGGGACTCCAATGAATCTACGTATATTAGCTCATTCTCTTTTGATGCCTGTAGCAAATAAGAAATTTAAAAATACAATACAAGCAAGTGAAATACTTATTCGAACCTCATTAATTAAAAAAGTTTGGTATTTGTTCCAAAATTTAATTCTTATTCCAAATGTCGGAATGAGCTCTTTGAGATTCTCCAAATTTAGGCAAAGAAAAACGTCGCGATCAACTTGTTGTTCTGGAAATATAAAGCAGATAAATACATGCCGCACAGTAGGTACAACGCAATCTATTTAATCTTTTCTTATAATTTGATTTTTTTCAATTTAATTGTTTTGCTTTATTAGGATTGCGTAATGTAATGAAATATTATAAAAAATAAGTCAAACATTAAAATACATTACCATCGTTTAGCGTTTATGAGTATGGCGGAAGCGGAGGTGTAGGAAAAATGCACAAAAGAAAAATTGAAATACCTAAAGCAAAATACTTACCGTGAAATGACTCCACAAGATCTGTAAATCCCCATTCTAATAATTTGGTTTTCACAAACTCGTCCATCTTACCTAGGTACAAGCGTTTTTTTTTTGGATTAAGTATGCTCTTACAGTTAAACACAACACTGACGCAGTAACGACCATGTAAAAGGACGTGGAATTGCTTGGTTTAGCGCTTTCTAAGTACAACACAGTAGTAACTGATTATACAATTTGCAGCTTCGTATGTCGAGCTTGCAGTAAAAAGTGCTGCAAGTTTTGTGAAGGCTTTTTATTTATAAGCAAAACTATTTGCATAAATTGCGTTAATATATTAAATAAAGAGAGTATTGTTATTAGATATATTGCAGAGGAATTCACCGAAGTAAGAACACTAAAATAATGGGCGAACTTTTCTTGCAAAAACCTTAATTTTTTTTAAAGACGAATGTTTGCAAGATAATATGAAATATTACTGTTTGAAAATGTATTTCTTCTTACAAATTTTTGAAATTTCATACGCAATATCACTCGGGCAATTTTGCAAAAAAAATTTATAGTCATGTTTTTTCAGTGTACAGAGTTTATTAAAAGAGATAGGCAAAAATTGTTTATACAAAAGTTGCGTGTTTTTTTCTGTAATATATTTTCAACATATCGACAAAAAACAAATGAGCATCGTAATGTTAAAAAAAAGAACAAATTCCCTTAAATGGAACACTATATTTTTACTCAGGGTGAAATCCCTTTTCATCCTGATTCCAAAAATGTATAGTTTGCCGGTATTTCATTCGGCCTTTTTTTTTAAATATTTGAAGTTTATTATTCAAAAAATGCAGCAAGAGTTTTTGAAACACTGTCATGCATTGGAATGGGAAAAATTTGTTATATACTGAGATAATATATTGTTAAAAATTGTTATAGAATGTAAAAATTAATAATTCGAAAATTTATAAAAATAATAGTAATAATCCATAACAATGCTGATTATTAAGTTCTATTTTTGAATAATAAACTTAAATTATTTAAAAAACGGCTGAATAAAATACTGGCAAACATATTTTTGGAATCAGGATGAAACGGGTTTTCAGCCTGAGTAAAAATATACAAGGTGTTCCATTAAGTAAACAAAATAAAGTTAATTAAGCTTGGCGATGGTCATTTGTTGTTATTGATGTGTTCAAAAGAAAATATAGAAAAAAACACACAACTTTTGTACAAAATATTTTGCCTATCTGTTTTAATAAACTCCGTAGGTGGATGTCAAAATATATAGGGTAGACCGGGTAAAAACGCCCCACATTTTGAAAAAAATTGATAATTGGCACAAAAAAAATTTAATACCAAATTTTATTATATAATATGTAGAAGGTAACATTAATCTTTCACAAAACATATAAACGAAATTGTATTCTTATATTTTAGCCAAAAAAACAAAAAAAATTTTTTAACCCGCACTGGGGCGTTTTTGCCTGCAACAATGTAAAAACGCCCCACTATAGATAATTATACTTAATCAGGTCTATCCTCTTTGGTACACTTATTGCAAATGTTTTTGTTGCTGGTACATGTCTCATGAAGCCAACCAGAACACTTGTCGCATTGTATCCAGTCAACTTTTGATTTGGTTGTATAATAATAATCACCACATTCTATGCAGAAGTCTTCACCTTCATCCGACACTTCATCATCCGTCGAGCTTAAGACACGGTTTTCCAAAGAACTGTCAGAAGAACTAGAAAGTTGTCTTCGTGGCTTAACAACTCTTTTCTTCTTGTTCGAAACAGTTTGCGTCCTTCTCTGACTTACGTTTGTACAAGGTTTGTTTTTCTCAGCCTTTTTACTGGCATTTGCTTCCTTTTTTTCAGAAAATACTCGGCGCTTTACACGATTTTCTGGGGACGTTAGTTCAACAGCCGATTGTTTTCTTTTGGAGACTCTATGAGGGATTAGTGGAAGCGGCTGAATTTCCCTTAAATATTTTGAGGGAGTTTCCTTTTCATCCGCCGCAGATGATGCCACAGTTTTCTCTCGATTCGAGGGCCCAGGTTCATTCATGGCTTGCATCAAATTTTGCTGCTGCGTGGGTTCCGGCGGAGTTGATGGCATCGGAAAATTTTCGTCTTGGTAAGGTTGAGTTGTATTCTCTAAAGATGCATCGGATATTGCAAAAAAATGATCAGGTATTGCGTGGGGATTAAACGGATGTATTCCACAGGCTTTAAATCCCGAGATTGCGTTTGCTACTGTTGCAGATTTGCCCCATGCGACACCTATCAATCTAGCAATTGTCGTTCTTGATAACTTTCTATCCTTGTTCTGAATCATCCAACTTTTCGCTTCTTGAAAAAAGTACGTTTTTAATGGTTTAAAGAAACACCTATCTAGTGGCTGAAGTGCCTGCGTAGTGTGGCTTGGCAGACATAGAAGCACCACATCATTTTCAGTGGCCAAGTCTAATAGCTCGATTGCATTGCAATGCGAGGTGTGGCCATCTAAAATAAGTAAGGCTTTGCCCGGTCTCTTTTTGGGCAAAAAACATTCCCTGAACCATTTCAGAAACAATTCAGCATTTATGTACGACGACTTCTGATTCATAAACACCATCGAACCTGGCGGGAGTCCATCAGAAAACTCATCTTTTTTGTATTTCCCTTTGAATATTACAACGGGAGGTATATAATTACCCTCCGCATTGCAGCATGCAACCAAGGATACATTCTCTCCCTTCTCAGAGCTGGTTAATGAATAAACATCTTTCGCACCTTTCGTAGCGACTACTTTACCCGGTTTGTTGTTTATCTGTATCCCCGTTTCGTCGACATTATAGATTTGCCCGGGCTTGTCAAACAAATCGTTATTAGTGCAAATTTCTTGAAGTAATGTAAAATAATCGCCTACCTCCTTCCTATTCATTCCATTTGCTCTCGCTACAGACAAACCTTCGGATTTTCTAATGCTTAATTCTTTATTTCTATACAAAAATCTCTTAAACCATTCATCTCCAGCTCTTTCCTGAACTTGTGAAAATCGGTGGTTAATGTTTAATTTTTCGGCAAATTTGTAAGCCATACTTCTCACGGCAATAGCATCGGGGGCAAAACCGATCTTTTCCAGAGATTTGATATGGGCAACAAGTCTTTTCTCGTGCTCTGGCCCTAATTCTGGTCCTCGACCTAGTTTTACAATGGAGCTTCCACTTTTCAGATGTCTTCTCAGTGTTCTGGAGGAAATTCCGTATTCGCGACTAGCTTCATTTACTCCCATCTCGTGTGAATTAACTTTATTCATCGCCTCTGCCAAAGTATCTTGACTGAAGTTAGCTCTAGTTGTCTTTCTTACATAAGTTTTGCCCATTTTCTGGAAATACAATTGCAGAATTTAGTGGGGCCTATTACCCTAAGATTTGCGAGGCGTTTTTCCCAATGACCGGTGGAAAACGCCCCATCGTGCTAACCAAGTACTTGTGCACCGAACAGAGGCGACCGCATGGCAAATTGTATGGTTAGGAACGTAATATACAACACCGGTCACGAATCAACAATATCTAACTACGTTTACCAGAAATAATTTTTTACTGACACTTACCAACAAATTTTGCAGGTCGCAATTTACAAGACACTACCGTTTTTATTTTATTTCCAACAAACTAAACCACAACAAGTAATGCACAATGCGTCATACACAAATGTAACTGGCTTGTGGTGTCTGTATCGCCATCTATCCAAAAGCAATTGTATTTTTGCAGGTGGGGCGTTTTCGCTGGTGGGGCGTTTTTGCCCGGTTTACCCTATGAAAAATAAACAAAAATAGGTAGGTACCATGTAAAAAGGGAAACTAAAGGTAGAATTCGTCTTGACAAGTACAGACGAGCGGACGGACAAATGTAATTTTCACATTTCTGAAATGGAAAATTACATTATAAGGCGAGCCTATGCGCACTAATGATTACTGAAATATAACATATTAAAATATGGACTTGCTGAAATTCCGTTATATGTTACACTTTTTTCATCAACTTAGTATGTGATATTCCATAAACTATACGTAACATACTAGGAAGATACTGTAATAAAACACAACTAATAGGAACAGGAAACCTAAAAAAAGTATGGATTGCCTTGTAACATGCTCTGGAAAATTAAATAGTAAATTTCCCATATTATGGTAAAATACAGTATATCTAAAGTCTTGCTTTTTTGCAGTTGAAGAATGGAGAATCACTTTATGAAATGGGTTAATTTACAAGTTCCTCGTGTTATGCAAGAATAAAAATTGGAACTTACCTAAATCTATCATGAATTCATCTGTGAATATTAATGGTAAATTACGGTAGATGTTACAGTAAAATTTATTTACAAATCGTTAGGTATTTTCACAGAACTTTACGTTGGTTATAAATAGCCAACGTAAAGTTGTGGAATATTACATAAACTTTTTTTACCGTGCAATACAAAAAGAAAGGAAGATTGGATAAAATGCGTTGCATGCTCTCGCTGGCTCCATGAATATTGCACCAGCTTTCCTACCATGTGTATGTTCATGTGTATGTTCTGCGGAAAGAAATCTGTAAAGATATAAATCGCTAAACTGTCACACATTTACCTTTTCTGGAATTCATATTTTATTTTACGAATACTTCATTAAGTTTTTTTGTTATTTTAGACTTAAATAAGATGTATATATGTATTTTATCTTTTGTTACTTTTTTTCATGGAAGGTGTAATAAATTTGACATAAAAAAGGGTTGGCTATCTCTACCGCATTGACAAAATATGTAATGGTCATCTCACCCTTACACCAAGGGAGAGATGGCCAGTTTACATATATTTATTGGAGCTGCTCAATGTCAAACAGTTTGAACTAGTTTCAATTAAATCGCACTAACTTCATAAAACAATAATTCAACAACATTTTGGTATCAATTTCAGTACTTAACTGTTTCGCGTTAACTTATAAACAAACAAAAAGCATAAACCTGGCCATCTAACCCCGACTTACCCTAAGTATTTCAAGTGTTATTGTTATTGGCGTGTCGTCCATGTTGGTATGACCATAGGCTCCGCCCAGAGATGGGCGTCGACGCGTCGACTTTAATAGCGAAATCCATTGGACGGAAAAAATCTGCGCTAGGTCGACACTCGAATTGCGCGAGTTGTATCAGCTGATCTCAATAGTGCGTTGTCAATGGAGTTGGCACGTTGCATGTTGAATTCATGGTTATGTTTATTAAAAAAGTTAAAAATGGATTTATTGCAAGTCAAATTTCAAATTAATGACGAAATTATAACGTTCAATATACCAGATAACGACTCTGATATATTATTCATAATTACAAGTAAGTTAAATCAATGTGAACGTATGTAAATAAATCGGTAATTGATTTCAGATGATGATGATTTTACAGTAAATTATCTTATACAACTAATAAGTAATAGATTTATTTCCTTAAAGGAAGCGTTAAGTACTATTTACAGGGTTAATGAAGATGATTCGTAAGTGCCTGTAATTGTGTTAGTGTAATTTTTTTAATGTAGGTACCTACACTGAGGAAAAAAGATGGTCAAGTTAACAATAATCATGTTAAAACTACCATGAATTATGGTAAAAAAGGGGACAGCATAACATGTGTGTTACAATTACAATATAGCTCGGGTAAAGGAATTATAGTAGATTTAACAATTAAAAGTTTAGTTAACACGAAGTTGTCTGATAAAATTTACCATACATATAGCACACGATTGTATTTAAGTCTTGTAAATACTACAATAGCGCATGTAGTATTAACTTGACACCATCTTGTTGACATTACGAAATATCAAGCAGAATTAACCCACTCCGATTATCACATATACTATATATTGGCGGGTTGTTTGGTTGATTTTGCATCACTGAAAAGTAAAATTAACTTTCCATCTGTATGGTCAGTGATCCGCTTTTAGTGAATTTTACCGCAGGTACTGTGAAATCAACATGATATTTTAATGAGTTGAACTCGACGTGTCATGCAAAATTTACCATACATTTTGATTGTTTAACCAAGGATCTAGTAGAATTACCCTTTAGGAATCATGTCAAGTTTACTACGAGTTGACAGCCATATATAGTTGAGCCTGCATTGTTTATAAAGTAAAATTGCCTTTCCATATTATGCTCTTTCAAGCTTCGGATTTTTGTAGCCTTTGCAGTCCACACAGAGAAAAAGGTAGAGTAGTATTAACCGCATTAGAGTTGTATGTATCTCAACGTAATGTTGTATTTTGCCAATCTCATAGTGGTTTATAAATAATGGTTCTTAAGGTACTGTGAATATTCTGCCCACCAGAATTTCATTTTCTTGTGAAAAAAATAAGATGTAATAATAGTTACCCAATAAAAATTTATAGTTAACACACCAGTATTTCTATGTATTTTATTACCTGTTGTAATTATTTTGTATAGGTTAACAGTAAAATCTCTAGTGTTTTCAAAAAAATTGTGGTAGCGTACTGTGTAATTAAAATTTTGTTCTCTAGAATAAAGCATAGCTTTTTTTGAAACACAAGTTATTTATTGACAAATACATATTTGATAATTGTTACATACACTAGAATGATAATAATTAATTTGATATTAGCTGTTAATAAGCTGTTAATTTATTATTAATTTATTGCTGTGTAGCATAACCCACACCCATTAAATATAATAAATTAATTGCCTTAGAGGTATCCATTAAAGGTGTAATAATTAATTCACTTTTTGAGAGTATGCTTATTTATTTAAGAAAAAATAACAAAAAAATTAACATAATAAACAAAATCATTCTTTTATATCTAGTAATAAAAATATCAGTCATATGAGGAACAAAACTATATACATACCTATGTTTATAAAAATAATTACAAAAATATTTAACTTTTGTTGAATTACAAAATCTCGCTACAATTTTTATGTAGTGCTAAAGGAATGATATTTTTTAAAGTCTGTAAAGAAATTAATTTTAAGTTTCCTGAAATATTCACATTTGCAATAATGTAAGCTTGAAAATGTGTGGAAAATCCATGCACATCTAATTTATTACAAAGAAGAGAAATATTTTTAAAGCGATTGCAAATAATGTACTTAATGAGGTAAAAATCAGGGTCTATATCGTTTGATGGTAATGGAATTGACGTATTTATCTTAAATCGTACCCCATTAAAATCCACATATTCAAGAGCAGCTGTTATTTCTTTTATGTCATAATAATTAAGTTTCTTTAGGGATTTCATACTTTCATTGCTTGGAGGCCCGAGCACAAGTTCATCCTGAAACCCTTTATTTGATATAAATTTGTAACACAGTTTTAGCTGATGTCGCAAGCTGATTGTTTTTATAATATTTTTTCTTGAAGCAACAATATGTGCATTATTCTTTCCAATTCTATGAAATCCTTCGAATCTAATAGAAGAAAAGTTACGTAGTGGACCTACTCGTCTTATACAGTTAGGGTAGTGAATAACAAAATGATGTTTTGGTTTTAGCTTCTCTCTTGATATTTCTACATATAATTCATGATGCTCAATTATTATGTGTGTTAAATAAGTAATTTCATTTTTACTAACTACTCTCTTTGTAACGATACGAATAATATCGTATAAAAGTGCAAATAGAAGCCAGCCCTGATCATCGACATCTACAAAATCTCCTATTAAACATGGTAAGTAAGTCACAAAAGATGACATTTCACTAGCGCTTAAAATAAGTAATTTTCGATCCAAATGACTTTTTTTTATAAAGGGAATACGGTTTCCACAATCAACCTTATTTTCATACTCAAAATATTTTATTCTTTCATTTAACTGATCTAACGTAAAGTATGACTTTGATTTTATAAAGTAGTATAATAAAAAACCTAGTTCATATCTGCAGATGCCTTCAAAAAGGTCATGCATAATATCAAAAGTAATATTAGTGGTACAATGATAACTACTCAGCGTATTCCACCTACAAGGATCTTTTACTCCATTTGACTTTTCTTGGCTATGTAGTAAATAATTCTCAGGGTTTCTTATTTTGTAGTTTCCTTCACATTTCATAACTTCACTCTCTTCTTTTGTACAATAGCATTTACGACAAAAGTTCCCAGCAGAAAAGCTTTCTATTAATCCGGTAACAGAATTAATACCTAAATTGTCGCCGAGTATTAACGTTAAAGCAAAATATACTTGAATACTTTTGTTGTTGATCTCAATATAAATTCCATCATTTTCTAAAAACGCTAATTCGTCAATAAATGGTTTAAATACATCTTTGTTACCATAAGTTGTTCTATCGTTAGAATGAAATAAACCAAAAAGGAATATATTCTCTAATTGTGAGGCAAATATAGGAGGTAT